ATAACTTGGGTATCTGGGACGGTCACCCTTTAAGGAAGCAGCCACCTCATCTTTCTCCCATAGATTAGCTGGTGGATATTTGTTTAGTAATAGATAGTTATTTCACAAATCCATATTCAGATATATAACATCCTAAGGAAATCTTCAACTCCATTCCATATAAATAGAATTTTAATTTTGATTTATCTATTATTACAATAGGTATTAAATACTAGATAAATAATAATAAAATCGTTGTATACATGGGATGGAGTTGAAGTCTCCTTATAAAGCTGCGTGTAGAAAGCTGGATTTGTGAAAGAAACTATGCATTGGATAGAAGTTTCTTTGTAAGTAAAAATCACCAAAAGGATCATTATAGTTTCTTAAAGATATATTGAAAGGAAATGTTTTAGCTTTACTTACCTATAATTTAAAGATTATGTGTGAGGCTGACCAAAATGATGGGATTCAAATAATCTAACAACTGGTTCGCTGCCCTAATGACTGTTTTAAGTTTAATATTTTAGCTCCCTGAACACTTTCAAGAATTGCATAATTCACTCATCACATGTTGTGGGAATTTGGGGTGTGAGACAAAGCTGAGACGAAGTTAACATCAAATCACCGTCTGGTTGTCAGCTTTTCTCTTCATGTTATTTATGTTGTGTTTACTGAAGTAATGAATGCAAAGGGTTAAAAATGAAGTATTTCATCAAAAGTATAATGAATTTTATGAAATGTATAAATAGTATAAGCATAGTTCCATCTGATTTTTTATACCTATGGAAGGAATGAAAATTACTATAGAGCTGAGAATCTGCTGTTGGACAGATGAACATTAAAAAAAATGTAAATTTGTGAGTTCCACACTTGGTGGGCTAGCCATTTACATTTGAGAGAACCCTGGTTACAAGTGCTATCTTAGCAATCAGTACCCAGAACTAAACCAAAAATTGGGTATCGGTTCTGATGGGCTGGTGCAAAGCGGCTGAATCTCACTCCTGGGCTGATGCGAAAAATAAAAGCCTGTGGACTGGTCTGATGCATGGTTCCATCTTGTGTCAACCCAGAGCAGGGACTCCAGCTGTGTTCCAAAATATGGGGAATCAAGTTTGTCTCTAAAATACCTCCTTGGTAGCTCCTTTCAGGGACGTCATTGAAAGTCTGAGCTGAATACTGCTGCACATTCCCAAATTCCAGTATCGTCTTCCTGAATGTAACTCTCTCCAGTGCCATGAAGATTTTTTTCTCATATGCCGCCATGGAGAGAAGTTTCTTAAATAACTGACTTCAAGAAATCCTAGCTCTCTGCTCCCTAAGCTAAGTGATCCTTACACAAACGTAATGAGCTGGAATAGAATTGGACTGAAGAAAACAGGATGCAACCAGATCTGCAGGACGAGAAAGTTTAATTGCACAATGGACACAAATCTGCTCCCTTTATCGGCTTTGACTCTGTTATTGAGGAGATGCGCCGACCACTTCAGGGCTTGGAAATACCTCTTTAAGAAAAACTCCAGAAGGCTCTGCTCTTAAGAGTGAAACTGACGGCCGCGACCCTGCCCTGAGTCAATGACCGCTTTCAACTCAGCCTTAGGCACATAACCTTGATAAAACACAGAATAGAATGTTCAAAATCAAAAACCATGCATAATAAATGATATCTAATCTCTGACATTTTTCTCTCTCCTTTTCTTCCATATCAAGCAAAGCCCCAAGCAGGAGCATCAGCACATGACAGTGGCGCTAAGCTCACAGAAGAACGTGAGTACAACGTGCTGTGCTGCAAATTCCAGAAGTTGCCCCTGACCGGCTACCTAAAGCAAATTGGGCTCGCAAAAAGCATAGACTCATACACAGGTAACATCAATGTGGGGACTGTCCCAGTGGGAGGGCTGGCTGACACTAAGCCTCAAAGTCAGAGGTGACTTCTATTTGATTTGCTTAGCCCACATTCTAAGTCTATCTAGAAAACAGAATCTGACTACATGATAGCAAAGCCTTGTTTGCCTCTCTCTGCTGAGGGTGAAGGAGCCCTACTAAGACCGTGGGTCACACAGTGTGCTGCTAACCACAAGACAAACAGTGCCAACCACAAGACAAACCAGTTGCCCCACAGGGGAACGATGAGGCTTTCTTGTACAGTAAATATGTACAGCTTCAAAAACCCACAGAGGCAGTTCTACACTGTCCGATAGGGTCACCATGAGTGGCACTGAATTGATGGCAGTGAATTGGTTTTTTGTTTGGGGGTTTTAGTGAATATGAGAGACAAAAGACTAGTGCCTATATTTCAAAGGCACTTCAGGACTGTCCTGCCATTAATTACCTTTAAAAAGAAGGCACTAAAGCTCTCAGCAATAGGTACACTACACCAAAAAAGTATAGATTATAATGTGTGTGTGTGTGTGT